TGTCCCTGACCCCAGCACCCTGCCACCTGCCTGTCCCAGCACCTTGCCCCAGCACCCTTCCACAAGTACCCTGTCCCCAGTACCCAGCAGCACCCTGTCCCCAGCCTCAGCACCCTGCCATCCACCTGGCCCTGGCCCCAGAACCCTGCCACCCACCCCAGGACCCTGTCCCTGGCCCCACCACCCTGCCATTCACCCCAGAACCCGGCAGCACCCTGTCTCCAGCCCCAGCACCCTGCCCTGCACGCCATGCACCCTAGAACCCAGCCCCACCCTGTCCCCAGCATCCTGCCATGCACCCTACTCTGGCAAGGAGTTCTACAGGTTGACTGTGCCCTGAGTGAAGAAAAACTTCCTTTTGTTTGTTAAACTAGCTTTCCCTGGCCCCAGCCCCCTGCCACCCTGTGCAAGGGCTGGGGATAGCCAGTGATGGAGCTGAGGGGAACAGAATGGATGGGGCTTCAAAGCGATGGGGCCTCAGAGAAGGAATGCGATTTTCATGCATTGATGGGTTCCCCTCTTTTTTTTCCCCCCTCAACTTGACAAACCTAGGGGTTCCTTGAAAAGCTGAAAAGGGTTCCATGGCCAAATAAAATTGGGAAACACTGCACTAGAGAAAGAAAATTAAACCTTCGAAAAACCTTGATGGGCTCTGATCCTCACTACAAATTTCATCTATGACTTAGATAATAGGGATGTTAGCAGTTACACGACTATTCAATAGTCTTCTGGAGTGGGTTGGAAGCCAGTGTGTTTCAGGCCCCACTCCCTGGGAGCCCCTGTCCGAGGGATGCCAGAGCAGCCTTCCCTGTTCCCATGCTGCTGCCTCCTACGGAGGCCAGTGGGGGGAGTGGGGGGGGGAAGAGAAATTTCATCTATGACTTAGATAATAGGGATGTTAGCAGTTACACGACTATTCAATAGTCTTCTGGAGTGGGTTGGAAGCCAGTGTGTTTCAGGCCCCACTCCCTGGGAGCCCCTGTCCGAGGGATGCCAGAGCAGCCTTCCCTGTTCCCATGCTGCTGCCTCCTACGGAGGCCAGTGGGGGGAGTGGGGGGGGGAAGAGAGGCAAGAAGCACGGACGACAGTGACTAGTGTGTCAATTATCCCATAAGCATTTGCTTATCGGATAGTCAACTAGTCATTCACATCCCTTCCTCAAAGAACTCTAGAAGATAAGTAAGGCATGATTTCCCTTTACAAAAACCATGTTGCCTCCCCCCACCCAACAAATTATGTTCATCTATGAGTCTAACAGTTTTATTCTTTACTATAATTTCAACTAATTTGCCTAGTACTGACATTAGACTTACCAATCTATAATTGCCAGAACCACCACTAGAGGAGCCCTTTTTAAGTATTGGTGTCACATTAGCTATCTTCCAGTAATTAGGTACAGAAGCTGATTTAAAGGATAGGTTACAAACCACAGTTAATAGCTCTGTAATTTCACATTTGAGTTCTTTCAGAACTCTTGGGTGAATGCCATCTGGTCCCAGTGACTTGTTACTGTTAAATTTATCAATTTGTTCCAAAACCTCCTCTAATGACACCTTAATCTGGAACAATTCCTTACATTTGTCACCTCTAAAAAAGGGGGGGGCTTAGGTTTGGGACTCTCCCTAACATCCTCAGCTGTGAAGACTGAAAGAATTCATTTAGTTTATCCACAATGACTTCACTGTCTTTGATTGCTCCTTTGGCATCTTGATCACCCAGGAGCCCCACTGGTGCTGAGCAGGCTTCCTGCTTCTAGATGGTGCTTGGCCCTGCCATTAGGTCAGGGGACTGGACTTGATGACTTCTCAAGATCCCTTTCCGTTCTAATATTCTATGATTCTATAAAATAATTTAGCTTTCATTTTCAGCATGAGCCTAAAGGTCACAAGATAAACACTGCATGAAAACACGCATAGGCAGAGGAGCCAAAAACTCATATTCTTATGTAGACTTAAGACCAAATGGAATGCCTGCCCATACAACGCAGTCTGTATCTAGAGTAGTGAACATGCCAGAGGGCCTGTTCAGCATATAGCTCAAATTGTGAGGACCTGGAATATAAGCAGAAGCCAGTCAACTTTAAAGAAACCTAAAATATAGCCTGGCAAGCTGGACTATGTATGTACATGTGGTCATATGCCCCAAGACTCTTGTGTAGTTTCAAACTCTTGTGACTGGCTGCGCCTGAGATCTAAAGCAAGAAATCAAATAGTTTGGAACCTAGCGTCCATAAGGAAAGCCCTGGTTTGAGCAGAGTCTAGGACTGTTCTTATAACTTCTATCTTCTGAACTGATCACAGGATAGTTTCTCTCTAAACTGATCAGTAGACCCAGAGCTTTGAAGGTTAACTGTATGAGAAACTAACTGGATAGTACCTGAGCCTTGGACCAGCCTCTGACTAGCCAGTCATCCAAACAATGGTAGAATTCGATCCCAGAGTCCTCATCAGGGTGGATAAAAAAAAACAAACAGATTTTTGATTTTTTGGTCCAAAAGCATTTTATCTAAAAATAGTTTTAATTAAGATATAGCTCAAAGATCTCATCTCCCCATGAAATATATTCTATAGTATGAGACAATATATGTAAAAGGATGTGAAAATTAGAATAGTCCACGTAATTTGGATCGACTATTTGATTAGTCACAATAAGGGAGCCTCCGACTTTGAAATGTAGCAAGAGCCCTGCCGGCTCTTCCTACATTTCAAATGTAGAAACCCTGCAGGGACACAGCCAGTGGGGGGATTCAAGCAGTCCTCTGCTGGCCCTGGGCTCTCTGCTTTTGAAATGTACAAGAGACTTCCAGGGGTGCTTGTACATTTCAAAAGCAGGGAGTGTATGGGCTCTCTGCTTTTGAAATGTACAAGAGACTTCCAGGGGTGCTTGTACATTTCAAAAGCAGGGAGTGTAGGGCCAGTGGGTGACAATTTGAGTCTCCAGCTCATCCCAGGCTCCCCACAGCACTTCTGCTTTTGAAACGTGTTACATTTCAAAGGCAAAAGTGTCACCAGTTCCCTGCTATGCTCCTGCTCCTTCTCCCCACAGACACAGTGCTGGGGGAACCGGCTTTTAAGACCGCTCCCCCCAGCACCATATCCTGCTCCTACCCTTGGTGCCTCTCTATCAGAGGCAGCGGAGGGGGGGGGTCACTAGTCACTTACATCCCTAGTAATGTTTAAGAACAGTTTTGTTAACGAGTTCCAAGAGTTCATGGATTAGGGACACAATCATATGGGGTTCCAGAGGCTTCTGTATAAATTATTCAGGTTAATCTTCCTGTCTACCCAATGGGACTCAGTACTCAGTCTAGAAACTACCACCAGAGATGCTTAGTTTTGCAGTTCTCAAACTGTGGATTTATGTCTCCAAAACTAACATGCTTGTTAACAGCAAAAATGTTTTAAATAAAATAAATAGAGAGGTGAGAACTAATATAGAAAATTCTCTACTGTTGCCATAAATATTCTATTAAGTGACTTTAGTTCACTCACAAGAATGTTTGCCCTAACAGCAGATTTCAAGGAGCTACTGCAAACCATTCACAGAAAGCAATTTTAAAATTGCAAATATCCACATCAGAAAGTTA